AAATGATTTTTATTACGTCCTGATATATAAAATCATAGAATTCCAAGAGGGTGTATTTTTCCCCACATTACTGTATTAAAGTATACTTATATTTATACTGAGTGTGATTTAGATCAGTGGTTCTTAACCTTTGTTACTCTGAGGTTTTTGAACTGCAACTCCCAGAAACCCCAGCCAGCACAGCTGGTGGTGAAGGCTTCTGGGAGTTGCAGTCCAAAACTCCTGAGTAACCCAAGGTTAAGAACCAGTGATTTAGATTGTTCAGCATGCCAGAATGTGCTGCCTAAATAGGGTCTCAAAGTCAGTGCTATCCATACTCCAAATACTTGTGTACTGTATATGGTTTGAGCGACATACAAAAGACACACACAAAGAATGAGTGTTGTGACTGCTTTCTGTAAATATATAAAAATTATATTCAAGACAGAACTAAATCTTTTCTCTTGACCTTCCCATATTTTGGAGTCATTAGACATTAAACATGGTATAGAGTCTGAGAGAAAGGCTTTTGATTTAACATGTTCCATTAAGGGCTCGCCATGCTCTGAAGTGGAGTTCTAGCAGCAGCTATTCCTTCTGCAGGTGATTTCAGTGCCTGATGCATAGTAACAGCATGCTTGTGGGAATCAGAATTAAGATGACAGGTGCAGTCAAGCACTTTACCTTGCGCCTGTCATTGCTGCCTCTTCCTGTACCATTCAGTGTGGAAGTCAGCATTGGTTCCTGATTTTTGGTGGCTCCACTGTATTGCTTCAAAAAGACTAGAAATCTCCAGTCCCAAAAGTTGTCATGCCTCTACTTCCCATGTCTGAGAACAGTGAAGTATGATACAGCATTAGCGGATGAGCTTGCCGAATATGTGCTTCAGAGTCAATCAGAGTAAACATGTTACACTGCAGAACAAATAGGTACATCAGTTATTAAGTTTTCAAGCTCAGTTTGAACTGCTAGGGATTGAATTTTTTGGATTTTCTGGACTACAAATACCATTTCTCTCCACTCTGAGAGTTCTGGCTACATTAGAAACAACTGAATCATAGAATCATAAATGAAATTTGAAGGAGCCATCATGTCCAGCCCCCTGCTCAACTCAGGAATCCGAATCAAAGCAGTTCTGACAGATGATGGTCTAATTTTCTCTTGAATGCCTTCAATGTTGGAGTGCTCACCACCTCTCAAGGTAATCGGTTCCACTGCCTCACTGCTCTAACACTTAGGATATTTTTCCTGATATTCAGCTGAAATCTGGCTTCCTATAACTTGAGCCCATTGTTGTGTGTCCTGCATGATGGAGAACACAGATCCTGCCCCTCTGTATGACAGCCTTTTAAGTATTTGAAGAATATTATCCTATCTTCCCTCAATCTTCTTTTCTCATGACTAAACATGCCCGGTTCTTTCAGTATTTCCTCATAAGGCTTGGTTTCCAGCCTCCTTATCATCCTTGTTGCCCTCCTCTGAACTTGTTCCAATTTGTTGCCATTCTTCTTGAAGTGGACACAGAACTCAAGATGAGACTAACCAGTGCTGAATAGAGGGGAATTAGTACCTCGTGTGATTTGGAGCCTAGAATAGCATTTGCCTTTTTTGTATTCACATACAAAATGTTGGCCCATATTCAGCTTGTGATCTGTAATGATTCCAAGATTCTTCTCAATCACAGTATTGTTGAGCCAGATATTCCCCATCTTGCAACTATGTGTTTGGTTTCTTTTTCCTAGGTGCAGTACTTTTGCACTTATCCCTGTTGAATTTCATTCTGTTGTTTTCAGACCAGTGCTCCATCCTATCTAGATAGATCATTTAGAATTTTGTTTCTGTCTTCCAGGGTACTAGGTATTCCACCCAATTTTGTATCATCTGCTAATTTGATTAACATTCCCTGTATCTCATGATCCACGTCATTAAGTAATAAAAATGTTGAAGAACACTGGGGCCAGAACTGAGTCCTGGGGTACCCCACTTCTTACCTCCACCAAGTTGGAGAAGGAACCATTAACCATCACTCTCTGAGTACGATTCTGTAGCCAACTGTGTATCCAGCTGACAGTTGTTCTGTCCAGCCCACACCTAGTTAACTTCCTAATCAGAATATCATGGGGCACTTTGTCAAAACCTTTGCTGAAACCAAGGTATACTATGTCTATAGCATTCCCTTTGTCTAATGTGACACAGCTGCGAGCAGAATTGGAAGGCTTTAAGGCTTAGTTAGGTCTAGTATCTCTTTCCTGTCCCAGTGCATCATGGGGAAGCTTTCTTTTTGAGCAGGAGGGTTGGGTGGAGTGAGGGCTTGCTTAGCCTCAAAGCCTTCCAGTTTAGGCCTTTCTTCCTCAGATACAATCATTTGGGTTTTCATAAGGCAGTGGTTCCCAACCTTGGGTAACCCAGGTGGTTTTGTTTTGTTTTGTTTTTGGACTGCAACTCCCAGAAACCCCAGCCAGCACAGCTGGTGGTGAAGGCTTCTGGAAATTGCAGTCTAAGATCACCTGGGTTATCCAAGTTTGGGAACCACTGTCATAAGATGTCTGTAAGGTGGGTATAACTCCCAGAGTGAAGAATTTGTAGTCCCAAACATCCCATTCCTATGTGCCATGTTTCAGACATCTACTTTTATATGAATCTCGTTGTAGTTTGGAATCGGTTAAGGAAGACTTCATATTCAGAGGACAAGCTGTCTTCCACAAGGAACAGAACCTTCTTAATCATCACTCTGGATCTTTGTAATGCCCCTCTGTCTGTGGATTGTACGGCTGGGGACACTTTTTTCCTGTTGGAACACTTATTTCAAGGTGTTGCTTGTATTTCGTTTCTTTCTTTTATGTTTTTTTCTTTGTTGATTAAGTCATTGTTTTTTAATAATAAATAAAATTGAGTGTTATTCCTCTCTGATTGTTGAGGGTGGTCCTCACATTTAGTGGCTGAAATTGATTTCATGCAAAAATGTTGTGGAGGGCTGATGATGTTTTCAGCCTCAGTGATTTTTTGGGGGGAAAAAACCCACATTTTCCCCCCAAATGTCCCAAGGCTCCCAAGGCTCTTGTGGGATCCTTTCATCATCAAGAAGCAATTGGGGTTGTGGGAAATGAGGGGACAGTTTTAAAAATTGCCAGCACTAGGATAATTTTAATGCTGGTGGCAAGTTTTGGAAATTAAAGACCTCTTCCCATCCTGCAACCTTCAGTGGCTTCCCAAAGGAATATCAGTATTCTTTAATTTTTAGAAAAACATCAGGACTGATGACATTACCAGCCTTCACTTAGGATAGCAATGCAAACAGGATTTCAGTGGGCAGTTATCAATAGATATTGGTTTTGATGCAGCCTTCACTTAGGGTAGCAATGCAAACAGGATTTCAGTGAGCAGTTATCAATAGATATTGGTTTTGATGCAAAAGTTACCATTTATTTGACTAAGGCTGAACTATTGAGTACACTTTTATTTCACTACAGTGCTACAGCTGAATTTTAAACATATTAGAGTATTGTGGACAAATACTGTGGAAGTATCCCCATCATGTTTTCATGAAGGCATTCTATACTGCCATCATCTTAGACTGTTGGTTGATTTGTAGTCCAAGACATTTGGAGAGCACCAGATTGAGGGTGGCTGTTTTAGGAAATAGGTCAGGGCTGCTGGTAGGCAGGGATCAGTCTGGAGGTCGGGGGGAAAAAAAGGCTGGTCTCGACTAGCTGGCCACTTTCATTGTTGGAGCTTCTTTAAGCCAAGCTCAGTGTTCATGTTTGTATTTGTCTGGTATATATGTGTATATAGTAAAATGGAATGATTTCTTGTAAAGTTGTCACAGTTTTATTGGGGGCAGTTTTGAGCATGAGGACAGATCCGTGGAGAATGGGAGGATCTCTGGGGATGAAGGCCCTCCTTGGGTGCACCCCCTTTTAAGGGGTAGGGAGAAGAGTCTAGGTACACACACAGGTCAGGAGATGTTGTGCACTTCCGTCCACCCTGGTGACAGAGGAGTCCACACAATGGCACGTGCCCATGTGGCTAAATCCAGTTCTGTTACTTGGGTTATCATCCGCTACCAGGCAGGTTGACTGATGTGTGAGCCATCCTCCATGCTGACACCTCTTTGGCTATTTGGCAGCTGTAGACTTGAGGCCAGTTTTTTTTTTCCAATTAAAGTTGGATCTGTGTGATTTGTTTTAGTTCTCCCTTCTTCCCCCTTGACTGACCAGATCCATTACACTTGAATGAAAACTGATTTTCTGGTTTTCTCTTGGACCAAATTATTCCCTCACAGCTTTGGTTGTAAATTTATTCATGGAAAAAACAAAAACAAAAAAGAGATGAGATTGATTTTAAAAATATTGAAGCTTGTTGATATTTATTGTGACTGAAAGTACATACTGTATAATATGGATACTTTAATTACCTACATACACATCTCCCTTCAACAACTGGACCCACATGTAGTTCAAAATCTGTGTGTAACTCCTATGCCCCCTAGAACATCATTACAAAGCATAAATGGTTGATACACACAGAGAGAGAGAGAGAGACGGAGACAGAACAGTTCTCTGTGTTGGGGTTTTCTTCGACAGCACCGAGAGTCCTTTCCATGCAGTACCATGTGTAATGAACCTTAAAGGTCCTTATGATCCTTGATCTAGAGTCTGAATTAGAGATGGTGTGTGTGTGTGTGTAAGCAGACCACTCTGACACCTTCAGTGTTGAACTCATGGGGTTCTGGGTTGCCAGGGTACAGTATTTATTGAATATTTATTTATTGAACTTTTTGTTTATTGGAATATTTATTTATGTAATGAAAAAGATTCTGTGTATAACCAAAACCATGCTGTTCAGCCCCGTGCAATACCACTTTTTTTTCCCTTTCCCTCTTAGTTTGTATGCCCATTAGACACAGGATTACTATTTGATCATGTAAATCAAATCATGAAATTGCTGTTGAATGTGGATATGGTACCTCACCTTTGGACAGAGGGGAAAATAATGAATGTATTTTAATTTTGTCTTTACAGTTGCACAGAAGATTGTTGCAACAAGGAAAAAGCAGCAACTTTCGATAGGTCCTTGCAAATCGTTACCAAATTCTCCAAGCCACTCATCTGTATGTTCAACCCAAGTCTCTGCAGTACATATCAGCCAGGTATGAAATAGATTTTTTCCTATCTTCATCCCATTTTATGAGATTAAAATTGGGCAACAGAAGTGCGTGATTTCCCACCCACCCCAGGCAAAAAGCCCATTTTGTAGCTACACAAGTTGTGTAACTTTTGGAGGCTAGTTCCCTCCCATTAAAAAAATCACCATAGACATTATCAGTTGCACACTATGTCCCATAACTCAGTGTGCAATATATAATGTCTGCAATAATATCTTAATTTGAGGCAATTCATCTCCAAAAATTATACTGTCTGTGTTATGCCAGCATAATTAGGCAGGAGGATTTAGATCGTAATGGATTTTCTGTTACACTATGGAGTACCATAATATCTGGGTGTAGATTCAGGTTTCTGACAACTTCAGGTTGGGATGGAAAATTTTAATAGTGCTTTGGATCGCATTTTCATTGGGCCTATCATGCTGTCTCATTACTTGAATTTATGTTGAACTCAACCAGCAACAAGCGGCAGCTTATATAATGTGGTTAGAAATGAATACCTCCAAATATACCTATTTCTATAAAATGTATAGCAAAGTCTTGCAGTGAATTCTGAAATACGGTGGTTGAATGTCTGTGGAGCTCCATGGAGGCAGTTCTTCTCATCTGTTTGTATGGATCTTTGTTGTCACAACTGGCAAAACTGCATTGGGGCACAAGAGAGGTGAGTGTTTGAAAAAACTAATTACAGTGGTGCCCCGCATAGTGACGATAATCCGTGCAGCAAAAATCGTCACTATACGGATTCGTCGCTATGCAGAACAAAGAAGCCCATAGGAATGCATTAAAACATGTTTAATGTGTTCCTATGGGCAAAAAACTCACTGTTCTGCAAAAATCCTCCATGCGGCCGCCATTTTCGCTGCCCGGGCAGCGAGGAATCCGGGCAAAAACACAGCGGGCGCCCATTTTATTTACCTGGTGGCCATTTTGGAACCGCCGATGAGCTGTTAAAAAAACATCGCTATGCGAAAATCAGTAAGCGAAACGCTTACCAATCATCGCAAAGTGATGTTTTACCATTAGAAACATCGCAATGCGATTGCAAAAAACACACCGCTATGCGGATTCATCGTTAAACGAATCGCTCGTTATGCGGGGCACCACTGTAATTGATATATGCCCTGAAAAAAAGGAAGACCATTGTGGCTACAGGAGCATTGGTGGAACTATTGCAACCCTTATTGTACATCAGTTTGAAAAGAATGAATGTTCACCATCATCTAAGTGTGTGGAAGACAGGGATGCTCCTGTTGGTGAGCTATTGTGCTTTAAGCCAGGCCCCACACACCCCACTCCACAATGTGAAGAGCATTTCGATGTTGTTCTTGTGCAGGAACCCCAGGACAGGAATGCTACTGCTTGTTACTTATGGGAATTTGGGATCCAGAGACTTGTGTTGTAATGTCCATGTTAGGGATTGGAAGCTACCTGATTAAACAGAAGGAAATCGTGTTCTACCCCAGTGGTTAACCGATATAAAGGAAGCCTTGCCGGGAAAGGGTGGGAGTGGGAAAGTAGAGAACTTATCAAAGGAAGAGGTAGGCAGTCAGATGGAGACCAGAGGAGGAGGAGGAGAAGCCCAGGGAATTAGTAGAAGAAAACTCTGAGATTGATGTTGTACAGAAAGCACAAGGAGCTCTTGGGAGCCAAGTAGGATCCTAGGAAAACCTTGAGAAGGACACTTGGAGAGATGTCCTCGAGGAATAGACTGGAACATTGTAAAAGATTCAGTAACAAATGGGTTAGAACTCAGACCTCAGGGCAGAGTACTTCCCGGAGGAAGAGTTAGAATGGTTCTCTGTTTACAAGGAGGGTCCTCTGTGAGGGGGTTTTGGTGCAACTTCAAGTACCCAAAGGTGAGAGGAGAAAACATGAACATCCCAAGATCCCCTACTAGCCATTGTATTGGGGTGAGTGAGAATGATGGGCTGCAAGGAAGACAGGAGGGATCAGTAGGAAAAGAACTGGACTGTCTGTTCCATCAGTAAGGACCCTGGGGGTGTGTGGGACTAGGAGACTCCTTTCTTTAAAAGAAGACTTTGAGGCAGCGAGGTTAACAAGACTTGAAAGAGTAGGACGGAGTTCTAACCTGTTGTTATTTAACCTTTCATAAGTTCAGTAAAACCTGTTGCATGTTCAACTGTGGGTCTCATGTACTTACAGTCTGGAATGAACAAAAGACATGAGGGAGGGGCCAGCAGGACTCCCACTGACTTTGGGCTTGGCGGTGCTAAAAGCATTCCTGATCACCAGTGAAACCCAGTGGCAAAGTTGAATGGCATCAGTGTTAAGTCTTGTTGACTACTACTACTTTAGTTTGTTTTTCTGTCCCTATTTTCATTTTTTTTTCTCCTCTACATTACTGAGGTTTCGGAAACTGAGATGAAATGAAGTATGTTCGAGTAGAAACTGTCAAGTTTTTCTTTTCGAAATGCACAAGAAGGCTTAGTTACGTAAGATTGGTACATCATTGGTACTGGGCATCTCAAGGAGATCAGAAACATCCTGGAAGTAACAGATATAAATGTTGATTCACGGGCCTTTAAACATCTTTTGGAGATCTATTTGTTGTTGCTATGTGCTGTCAAGTCACTTTGACTTACGACAACCCTGTGAATGAGCGATCTCCAAAATGTCTTTTCTCAACAGCCGTGTTCAGCTCTTGTAGACTCAAACATGTGGGTTCCTTTAGGGAGTTAGTCCATCTCATATTTGATCTTCCTCTTTTCCTGCTGCCTTCCACCTTTCCCAGCATTATTGTCTTTTCCAGACAATCGTGCCTTCTTATAATGTGCCCAAACTAGAGCAACCTCAGTATCAACATTTTTGCCTCCAGAAATAGTTCAGGCTTGATTTGGCCTCGGACTCACTTGTTTGTCTTTCTGGCAGTACAGGGTATCTGCAAAGCTCTCCTCCAGCACCACATTACAAAGAAATAAATTTTTCCCTGTCAGCTTTCTTTACGGTCCAGCTTTCACACCCATACATGGTATAGAATCATGAAGTTGGAAGGGGCCCATGAGGCCATCGAGTTTGACCTCTTATCCCTGTTGAATTTCATTCTGTTGTTTTCAGCCCAGTGCTCATGCCTATCTCGATCATTTTGAATTCTGTTTCAGTCTTCCAGGATAGTAGCTATTTGAGTAGCATTTCCTGGATCTCATGATCCAAGTCATTAATAAAAATGTTGAAGAACCCTGAGCCCTTTAAATGACAAAGGAGACATTTAGTTGGAAGTGGTAGATTTCATACTTATCATACTTACAATGAGATTACTCAGCTGGGTAAAAAAAACTTGTCCCTCCTATACTTACATCCCAGACTCTGTCATGTCTGAATGTTTCACAAGCATTCTAATACTACTCTGAATCAAGAGAAATATAGTCAGCATTCATCTAATTGAAGAATTTGCATTACACATTATCTGTTAGTCCCTTAAATTATCAATTCTAATGAAATAGATTGAAATAAATTGTTTTAAAGATATAGATCTTTTTTAAAAAAATGCAACACTGCTGTTGAAAATAAAATTAAGTATGTGAAATAGGAATTGACTTTATTTCTTCTAAAATTGATTTTGATCATTTACAGACCAGCAACGGAGGAGGGAGTTTAAGTGATTATTCTTCTTCTGTCCCATCTACTCCAAGCACCAGCCAGAAAGAGCTACGGATTGATGTTCCACCTACAACCAACACTCCAACTCCTGTTCGTAAACAGTCAAAGCGCCGATCCAATCTTTTCACAGTGAGTGAAGTTTGTGATATTTCATTGTATTCTGTTCATGTTATTTCTGTGCTATCCATCAACCAAGTCATTTGGGTATTTTTCAAAAGCTAACAAAGTTAGCAAAATAAAGTGTTCAGTATTGTCACTTTCTGCTTCTGATTTCAATTGCTTCCCATTTCCTTAGGCAGAAGCTTATAGCACCTGTCCTTCATCTCCAGTAACCATGTTCATACTGTTGGACATCTGCCATGGCTTGTGCTTTGACAGCCATTCATCTGTTGTCAGTCGGTATTTGTCATGTATTTCTTGCCCACAAAATATGCTTGTTATCTGCATTTGATGAGTCACTTCCCTGTATCCCAAAATAAGGAAACAATAGAGCCTTTAGGTATAGATTATTGGGTTAATTCAGCGGTCCCATACTGTTTTGGGACCGTGAACTGGCTGAACCTCTGAGAAAGGCACCCCCTGCAGGTGTGTGCGGGTACAGGTGTGCTCTCAGACACATGCACGAAGCGGTGGGGGAGTGCCCACCCGCCAGCGCCAGCATGAGCACTCCCCCACCCCTTTGCACATGCGCTGGGGCACCTGCATGCCCGCCTGTGCACCCCTTCGCACAGGCGTTTGGGCGCATGTGCGAAGTAGTGGGGGAGCACCCGCCCTCCTGCCAATGCTGGCGTGAGAGCTCCTCCACCCCTTCGCGCATGCGCAAAGGCACCTGCACACCTGCCTGTGTGCCCACCCACCCCTTCATGGGACACTCAGGTGCATGCATGAAGGGGTAGGAGAGCGCTCACGCTGGCGCTGGTACGCATGCACGTGCGCAAAGCAGCTGTGGGGAGGGGAGTGTGTGCCGGGATGGGTGGGTAGGAGGTCTGTCTTCGTGGCCTGGTCCAGCTCAGGCCACGGACTGGCACCGGGCCGCAGACCAGGGGTGGATGACCTCTAGGTTAATTGATTGAAATAAAGCAAATGAAAGAGCTTGACATGCCTTGTCCACTTCTGAATGCACTCACCAAGTTTTCTTCTGGCTTTCAGTATGCAAGAATCTAACTTGACTAATGAGTGGTCAGAGTACAGAGGCTACGGCTTATATTAGGCACCTGGATATAGCCTTTTCACCTACCTGTTCAGGCAAATATCTGGATAGGACTTCTCTGAGAAGGGTGTCTCTCAGTTATGTCACCAGTGAGAAGGCTCACTACTCAGTATCAGCACATCTTACTTAATTTGGTAGAGGCTCCTGAGAAAGGGTCACTGAAGAATACAATAAAATCAAGGCTGTTATATTTGGGAGAAGACATTCCTTCTGGTAACCTTTTTTTATTCCCTGCAGTGAAGAGTTTGGATTTTGTAGTGAAGAATTTGGAGCCTTGTGGCGCAGTGGTTAAACTGCAGTATTGCAGCCAAGACTGCTTATGACTAGAGATGTGGGTAGTCATATTCGTATATGAATATAAATACCCACGCACAGATGGACATAACGAGAGGGGCTGGACTATCCACTGACCCATCCACTGCTACAGCCAGCCCCGCACTCCCTTCCAGTTGCTCCAGAGCTTGCGGTCGACTAGCCACTTGTCAGCCTGGCAGGGAGGCTTGTCTTCCTTCCGTCTGTCATGAGTGGATAGTCAACCATGAGCTCCGGAGTGATTGGAAGGGAGCACAGAGCTGGCTGCAGCACTGTCCACCTGTGCAGGAATATTTGTATTTGAATACAAATACCTCAGTCTCTGCTCACAACCTGAGTTTTATCCTGGGCTCAGGTAGCTGGCCTTCCATCCTTCCAGGGTCCAGTTTGTTAATATTTATGTGGTACACTGTCATTCCAGTGATACTGACTTCACAGGTATTTTTTTAAAGGATCTTTAATGGTTCTTCACTGATGCAAAGAGTTTTTGCTTGCTTTTCTATCTTTTTCCTTTCCTCCACTTTTTGCTGCAAAGAGGAGGGACAATAATAGGAGCTAGCTAAAGTAAATGTTAGGCAGTTTCAGACAAACAAGAAGATGACTGCTGGGGTATTCAAGAAATGGAATGTGTGACAATTTCCGGTATGATTGTCTTGTTAGTAAAAAGTGCTGCACTATTAATATGGTGACTTAACGTGTTCTACAGTCCTCTGTGAAAGAGTTCAAGCTTTTTAACCATCTAATTCTGATAGTATAGGAATGTGTAATAGGAATGTGCAGGAGAAAAACCTTTTGGGGTACATTCAGGTACTGACTTTCATTTAGGTTTTCTATTTGAGATTGATATTTGAGAACAACAACAGTTCCTTTTTCAGAAGACTCAATCATAGACAGGCAATAATATTTTAAAGTATTGATGTAGTCACTAATAATACTTTAAAGTTCACATTTATCACATCACTACCCTCATCAATTTATCAGCAGGGAAAAGTGTAGATGAGAAAGAGAAATCATAATCATGAGAATAGAGCGTGTGCGCACACGCACGCACACATATAGTCATTTTGGGCAGTATAATCATATCCCAACCAACTCCAAACCCCAAGATCGAATACAGGAGAGAGACAGCTCTCCCCTCTACCACTTTGATGACTTTGGTCAGCAGGACAGGCATAATCTACGAGGTCAAGGGTGTGGAGTCCATATGACAATAAAGTAAATAACAACAACAATAATGTCAAGTGAATTCTTACTTATGGTGACCCTTTTCATGGCTTAACAGTTAGAGAATGCTCAGAAGTGGTTTACCATTTCCTTTTTCTGGCGGTGCTCGCTGACTGTGTAGCTTTCCCAGGGTTCTACTCATAGGAGGCACAACGGAGAATCAAACCCCCAAGCTCTGGTCCTGTAGCCAGATACCTAAACTACTGAGCTGTCCAGCCAGCTAATAAAAGAAATGGGGGTGGGGTTCCTTCCAAAAATCATTAACATAAAAATGCCAAAAATACAGAGAATCCAAGAAATCCAGAAAGCAATCCAAAATTAGAGGAACAGCAGCAAGATTTAAAAAATAATAATAATCTGCAATAGAGGAACAACAGTAGCATACCAGCAAGGAACAAATTCAATCCAAAATGGAGCTCAGAAGAGCTTTCACAACAGTAATAGCAAACAAATAACCAAGTAGCTAAACAGCAGCCACTCCAGGTTTTCACAACCTTTTACTGATTCAAACACACTGTCCGTTAAAACTTCTCTGAACCCTAAAACTTCTCTGACATCCCTCCTCATAAGAGTTAGTGGCTCGTTTGCGGGAATATCAGTGGGACAATTTGGCATACAAGAGAAAACTGAGGTAATTCTGATAGTTTCATCAGCCTCTCTTTTGAAATACTGAATCAGAGGACATGAAAACGAAGAAAGGACACATATTGGAAGTTGAAGGAGGGCCAGGCCACAAAAGAAGAATACAGACAAAGAATTGCAGGGATGGCGTTAGGAAAGCAAGAGCTGAGACTGAGCTGAGGTGAGCAAGAGCAGGAAAAAAGCATTCTTTAGGTACGTGCATAGCAAAAGGCAGAGAAAAGAAACAGTGGCTCAGTTACTCAGTGGAGACAAAAAAAGTGATAACAGATTACAGAGAAAAGGCAGAAGTGCTCAATTCCTATTTCAGCTGGATCTTTTCCCAAAAGACAGTGTATGAAGGCAAATGTGAAGTATAAAGGGAGGGGACAGGATCACAGCTTGAAATGGATAAACATTTAGTCAAGGAATGCCTTGCTAGGTTGAATGAGTTCAAATCCCCGGAGCTGGATGGACTGCATCCAAAGATATTGAAGAACTTGCCTAAGAGATCTCAGAACCACTGGCCATATTTTCTTGAAATCATGGAGGATGGGTGAAGTGCTGGGTGACTGGAGGAGGCCTAACATTGTCTATCTTCAAAAGGGGAAAAAGAAAGAAGAGTCAATCTAACATCAAGCTGAGGGAAAATTTTGGAACAGATGATAAAGCAGTCACTCTGCAAGTACAGTACCTTGAAAACAAGAACTGACCATGTTTAACCTGGAAAAAAAGAAGACTGAGGGGAAATAGGATGGTACAACTGGAAGCGAATATTGATTTGTCAAGAACAAATTCTGCCAGAAATTCTCATTTTTTATCAGATAATCTCCCTGGTAGATGATGATGGGAATACTGTAGATGTAATATATCATGACTTCAGCAAAACCTTTGACAAAATGCCTCATGCTGTTCTCATTAGCAAGCTAAGTGCGGGTTGGATAGCACAAGAGCTATTTTAGGCTGCCTTAACAGAAGTACAGTGTCTCAACTCTCATGAAGTGCTTTCCCCCCTCTATTTGGCACTGATTAGACCTCATATTGAGTCCTGTGTCCATTTTAAGAAGGATGTCAACAAACTGGAGCAAATTCAGAGGAAGGCAGCAAGAATGATCAGATGACTGGAAACCAAGCCCTATGATGGGAGATTGAAAGAACTGACCATGTTTAACCTGGAAAAAAAGAAGACTGAGGGGAGATAGGATGGTACAATGGTTCCCAACCTTGGGTATCCAGATGTTCTTGGACTAAAACTCCCCAGAAGCCTTCACCACTAACTGTGCTAGCCAGGATTTCTGGGAGTTGTAGTCTAAAAACATCTGGAGACCCAAGGTTGGGAACCACTGGTATAGCAGTTTTCAAACACGTGAAAGATTGTCATACAGACTAGGGACAGATCTGTTCCCAATCATCCCAGAGTGCAGAACACGTAATAATGGGTTCAAGTTACAGGAAGTTACAGGAAGTCTGATTTTGGCTGAATATCAGGAAAATATCCTAACTGTTAGAGCATTGCAACAACAGAACCAGTGATCTCTGGAGGTGGTGAGTACTCCAACTCTGGAGGCATTCAAGAGGAAATTGGACAGCCATCTGTCAGATCCACTTTGATTTGGATTCCTGCACTGAGCTGGGGGTTGGCCATATAGGCTTCTTCCAACTCAATTATTCCATGGTTCTATGATTTGGATTTCAGAGGCTCTCTACTGGAAATCAGTGAAGGATTCAGAAAAGGCAAGAGCTCTTTCATGTTGGTTTCTTTTTC